GCTGCACATAACACTGAACTGTGGATGAGACACTTCTTCATCCTTGCTCTCAAGATCGCATGAAAATTACATGAGCACAAGTCTGGCTCGACTTATCCAACTACAAATAACATTCACAATAATGCAAGTGGTAGGCTTCGTTGGTAACTAGGCCTCATATTCATCATCACAATTTAACTGCATTATAAAGGGATTTACAGCATTATAACGGCTAATCCTAACATAACAGCATTCCCAGTATCATCTCCATCTATATACAAGGACAAAGTTGTGAGTATGTGTCTGTTCAAAATGTTTAGCGTACTTCCCGACATGCAACAAACTGGAAATTTGCCATGTGGGTACTTTCCAGACTGTACACCAGGCAAAAATTATAAGAGTACACTTTTGGGTTTTTTTTTATTGGGGGGGGGGGGGGGGGGCTCAATAATGCTAAAAAAATTGCACAGCAAATGAGCTGTGACGTCAAATATGTCACGTGACCCGCGCACGTGGAAGCGTAACGCGTTGTAGTGTAGCGGTTAGCGCGCTGCGCTACGAACCCGGCAACCCGAGTTCGATTCCCGCTCACGGCCACCACCGGTGACAATTATTTTAACCGGTCCTGGGCCTCCCCGAGGTCGCCTCAGCCTCAAACGAGTAACTGGTGTGGTGTGTGGACATCGCCACTGGGGAGACAAAGGCGGCCGGGCCTGGTGAATACAAGTCCCGGTCGAAGCCGGGTAGTACAGCTAGTAAGAACATAAACGAACGTACAGTTAATGCTTCTTAAAGTCCCACAATGAACAGATGCACCCGTCTTCACTGAGATTCTAATTGTGCCTCCATTTTGTACTGTATGTAATGGCTGACACCCCTGCCTGGCCTCGTGACTTAGAGACCCTTGACTCATAACTTCCTGGTCACGTGACCAAACTCAACACCATCATATCAGGAAGTTCCTGCGTAAGCACACCCCCATATCTGCCGTGGGGCAGAACAGCACTGCTTAGCCATATGAAGGGCACTTTGAGATAAACTTATGCACTTTGAAGTCTATTTTAGTGTCTTCGAAGTTTGTGATTGTAAACTCAGTTTCTATAATGCATGCTCCTGGCTCATCACTCTGTTGAAATTAACAATGCCTTTTCTATCAACATTAGATCAGTTAGTGCACCATAGCAAGAATATAGTTATCTTTTGCTGCTCAACAAACATTGCCTCTTTTTAACACAGTAGCTTTAGCACAGGCCCAAAAGGCAGACACATGTTTAGCGACCAGCAACAACCGGCACAATTAAAGCTGTTAAAGATAATAGTCAACACATTTATTGAATTGAGCAAGGTTATTCAAAGAGTGTAAGAAAAGTAAACCATTGCAAGGTGAAGTGTGGTGGTTGAGCCTAGTATGGATGAGACGAATCAGCCAGATAGGTCGACCGGATCTTGGCTCTTCTCTCATCCTTTGGTTAGATATATGTCTGTTAATACGTTTCTGTTGTGTCCGATTGACTATTTACTTTAGTATTCAATGTACTTGAGAATACTGCCCACGTTTTCAATTGTGCAGCTTTCTCGCATTGAACCAGATTCAAATGGTGCACAAAGGTGATTTTAATTAAATGTGATACTCATGGTAATTTTGTATAATTTTAACGTACCCTATGATACCTTGCCATTTCACTCATCAATATTAGCCTCCACACAGACGCTATATCCTGGAAGATTATTGTCAAAATTGCCCTTTAAAAAAATGGTTGTACACTTCAAATTATTTAAATGCAATCCATCGTTAAGCATATAGCTCACACATGGTCAAATAGCAAAACACAACAGAGATTTAGAAATTGTGTTTAAACTGACATGACACAATCTTGATGTAAGTGAAGCCCAACTCGAATGATTTAAGTTACCAAGATAATAGTTGCTTTCAGACAACTCAATGCATATTACATCCCAAAATTTGAATGATACTGAAAACTTATTTTTCGTGAAATAATAAAGTTTATAACAACACTGAGAAATCCAGTGGAAAATTACATTTGAAGAATTTGACACAACACTGCAGAAGGCATAAACTATTTAACATCCCATACTACAAAGTTGTCTCGTGCAGTCTTTCATTCTATATGCCCCATTTTATGCACACACATACACACGGACGTTCCTCATCTGTAGAGCTGTATGGATGAAGTGATTATAGGGTACTTTTCTCTCAGCCCAGACGGTCCCCTCATCGTTCCCCTCATTGCTCCCCTGGCACTACTCCCCAATGCTCCCCATTGGACATTACCTACATGCTCCAGCAACTAACCGATCATGCGCCCAACGAACTGCCCGTGCAGGCGATGGGCCTGGCAGACACTGGGCACGGCAGCACTGATGCCGCCTGTCATCGCTGTCCGTTCCGCCTTGCCGCCCTGCAGAGATTGCTCGTGGATCTCTGTGTGATTCTCCATCGGACTCTCCCCTTTCCGAAAATCCTCTTATCTTTGGGCTCCAGTGCCACTGTCCTAAGCTGCCCAGCGCGGACGATCAGTGCTCGGGTGGCGTGTGAACAACTCGCGTGGCCGAGCCCTGGCGCACGGGGTGGGAGAGGTTGCCCCGTTGCCCTGCCACTCGCACAGGTTGCACTCTTGCTCGGCTTGCGTCTGTCACCCGTGGACATTACGACCGCCGTCACGTGTGTCAATGGAGGATGCGGAGATAACACCTTGCACACTCATTTATAATCAACAACATGATGTGCATTTTCTCCACTGCTCCTTGACATCACATCTGATTACATTACCTCCTGAATATGTATGAGAATGCATTATTCCATTGCTCTATGTTACATTCATTCATTATACCTTCTTACAGCATGCAGATCTTTTGCCCTATATATCATAAATATCTTCAAAGCTTTCCAAACTGATACATATTTGATAGGAATTGTTAATGGTTTCTGTTTCGAAGTTGTTTTTAAATAACCCAAACGCCTTGATTACATTGTCAATAGAGGGCAGTACAGCAAAATCAATTGTTCTATATTATATATGCTACAGCATCTATGCTCCACATCTTCACCGACCCAAATTGGACCCGGCATGATGAAGTATTGTCTATTAACCCCCACGGCATCAGGAGCTCTTCGTCCAGCAGTGGATTTACAAAGCGGCTGTACATGGACATCTATAAATTATTGATAACAATATGATTATATTTACATATTCCCATCGTGTTTTGGGCTCAATGAAATAATTACCACTGTGGGGAAAGCCAACGTGGTTGCGTAATGGAGAGAGAATGGCCCACAGCGTAGGAATGTGGAGTTTCACCACTGGCTCAGGATCATCACATCAATGGAGATGAAGACTTTCCCACATTAGTCTGAGCAGTATTTTGCAATAGAGACCTTCATGTCTATCCCCAAAAAAACCCACTAATTTATTAATATATACATATTCAGCATTTATTTGGAAGGTGTATGTAGAGAAACGTATTGTGTATTTATAAGGTTTTTATGTTTTTTTCATCAATATGTTTGTGATTTAAGTGAAGCACATTGACAATTATTTTTAACTACAATCCTGAGGTACGTATTAAAAGAATAGTTGTTCTGATTGAATGGTTTTCCTTTGAAAAGGGAAAATAATTTATCAGATCTTTGGGATGTCCATCATTTGTTTTGTTTCGTCAAGTTCACAGGTGATTGTACCGACTCCATTGATCAGAATGCTGTTTGAGGAGAAAAAAAAGTTCAGAGAGGCTGAGCTGCTTAGCATTGCCAGAATTGAATAACATATTACTGCAGACAGCTCAAAAGGTCCCTTTTTCATTTTGAGTCGTCAATCAGTGTCTGGCGTAATTCACGCCTCCACCCTGCAAAAGGGTAAAGGGTGGAAGAGGAATATAATTTGGTAGCAACGTTTATTCCTGGGATCAATGAAGCAATTATGTAACGAGAAGATAATTGCATTTCAGGCTAACGTACATAGCATATGATGACATTGGTAAATTAATATGAAGTAAAATCAATATATCCATGTTAAAGTGTGTATTAATGGTTGACTTTTGCCTTGTGCCCTTATGCTACTCACCCTTTTAGCACTGTTAAGTGTTGCTTATGAACAGACTGCGTGTCCCAAAGCTCCGCAATGCACATGTTGCCCTGGGAATGTGTGTACTTGGTCACCTTTTCATTGAGCTCGTTCACATAAAAATTTTTTTTATACTTTGGCATTGCAAAATTGTATCATGGAAATGTCAAAATCAATCTACGGAAATCAGAAGGCGTAAATGATGAAGAGGTAAGCCAGTTAATGGAAACACATTAAATATGCATTATGTAGTTGTAACAGGAGTAGCTTTCCATGGGTAACTTGTCTTTATATTGCTGAAATAGTCAAGATTTAAGGTATCATTTTACTACAAATTATATAGTTGAGGGCTGGATATTGATTTTTTTGTGAGTCCAGTCCAATAAGCCTGCTATTCACATGTAATTAACCTCTTTAATTCTGGCTCACAAATGGCCGTTCAAACAAAAAAAAATGGATTAAGCCGATTCAGCTTTTGGATTTGATGCCGCTCTATATTTGATGCTGTTCATTGAACGCAACTCGGAGCCGGGCTGCGGGAAAGAAATGCCCTGCAGATGGTAGCACGAGCCTGAGAACGGCACCGAAATGCAATGATTAAAGAGAACAGCAATTAAACAAGCGTGCAAACATGGAAATAAATAACTACGCCGAAAATAATAATAACTCCCTTATTGCAGTAAAACTATCACTATAATTAAATGGCAAGGGAAATAAATGCATTGACAAAGAATGCCCTCCCTCTCATCACGCCGTCTTCCTCAGTTTTTTTCCCCCTCCTCTTCCGATACATACAGTGTTGTAAATTAATGCTCACAGCTGCACAGCAATGATAGCAATCCGGCTCCGCAGGAGTGCAGCCCTCCTGGTTTTGTGCTTTTCCACTGGAGCAGTGCATGGAGCCGAGCGCGCACGCGAACGCACACACGCGCGCGAACGAGCGCACGCACACACGCGCCACCCTCTCTCGCTCTCTGGCATCATCGTTTATACTTCGCTCTCGCTGCGCTCCTCACTCTCGGCACGCGTGCCGGGCGGCGTGCGTGCCGGGCGTCGGGTCCGCTCTTTCCTTGACCCCTGTGTTGACAGTGGCCGGAAAGTAGCACAGACGAGAGAGGCAGGCACGGAGGGCATACAGGCAGCTGGTGCTTGCTTAGTGCCAACTGATGGTGGCAACAGCAGCAAGCAGCATCAGATGGCGTGGGCTTGAAAAATAAATAGGCATTTGTTTTAACGGGCGTGGCTTCTTTAAAACCTCAAAACCTGAAAGTATCATTATCATTCGAGGCAAATATCATTCAACGACCACCAACCCACCACCATCATCATCGTCAATACGTTAATTGACCACAGTCATTATTGCCGTCTGCATCAATAAAATCGTTATAACAAATGTTAGATGCATCCGAGCGTACGTTCAGCGTTGAGACTGCCAGTTGCGGTCGCACGCTGTTGCGAGGTTGGTGTCCAACCACGCCGCACGGAGCCTAAGCTACGCAGGGAACAGAAACGCAGATAAATAGAAAGGGGACATTGAGGAGGAGAGCTCAGAGGGAAGAGGAATGTGGCTGCTCTGAGCGCCGCTGTAGTGATGGCTCACCTTCGGACTCGATGCTGTGGCGGTGTTGCGGGCAGGTGTCTGCATTGCTCCGTGCGGCTGCTGCTGCTGGTACTGGTGGTGTGCTCACTGTGTGTCAGCCACATCGCCCAAGCTGCAGGTAAACACGCGCACTGCTTTGCACAGATGAATGTGCAAATGAATGAATGCGCCCGTTGCGGTCATTGCGTGATGTTCGGAAAGTTAGGGTGTCACGTTCGTGCAAGTGTGAGTGAGGTTACTCCATGAACATGTGTGTGTGTGTGTTCACGTGCACGTGTGGCTTCTCATTGTGATTTAAAAAGTTGTAGTTCTGGTGAATGCTAAGTGTTGGTGCGCGCGCCTTGTGAGTTTGAGAGTGAAAGATTAAATTACATCTTTTGCACAATTCTAATTCTAAAAAAGTTTGAGTGTAGGTTGATGGTGTCATTACGTGCATGCGAGTGCTAATGAATGAATACGCGTGCATGCTCACTAATTAGCCTTGCTGGGATAAATAAAGGGCATCTGTTATTTCATCTCATTGCCATTTAATTACACGTGTTGAACGACATTTTCAAAGTTAATGTTTATGTCAAAGGTATAACAAGCACGCGCGAAGTACTTGGTACCGTGTGATAAAAATCAGCACTGGCGAGACAAAGGCGGTCGGGCATAGTGTTGGCCACCCACCTCCTCGTGTGCCGTGCCAGTCTTCATAGGTTCTTGCTGACCGCACTTGCCCCAACAGTCTGTTGAAGGCTATACGGGGGACCTTTGTCTTCTCGTGCAAATGTAAGTGCAAGCAGTGTTAGGTTAGTGAGCACCTATTATAAGCCAGCGCTACACATGTGTGAGCAGTCTGGTCGGCACACCATGTGTCCCTCAAAGTCTCTAAGGCTCAATGTATGCACACACATGCGTGATGTGTGTTGTGATGCCATTTTATTTCACGCTTGCATTGCAATTCTAAAAGTTGCTGTGTAGGTTTAAGCTACAGTAATACCATAGTCACAGTTTAGAATTAGTATTGTTTCCTACCTTGTCACTGCCTATATTTCCACACTCACCATTCTACCTTGAATTTAGACAACTAACAGATTCCGTTATTTCAAATCTCAGGAGGAACAATAATTACAAATCTCAGGAGTTTGATGTGCATTCTTTGGTCTCGTGAAATCACTGACATTGTGTTAGTAAGAATTATGTGGCAGCAGAACATAGCCTTTCGTTGCTCTGTGCCAGTTTAAAGTCTTCCTCGAGGCTGGTCTTCACTTGTGCTTGTTTTTTTCCCTTTCTCTGCTTTGTTTTTTCGAGTGCTTGTGATCGATTGCCCCAGACCTCAGAAGGGAAATCCCACATCTCTTGTTGTTTCAACCCTGTACCGTGTGTTTTGACGCAATTAACATCTCGAAAGTAATACAAGTGTGTGTTGAATAATGCCGTCCAAAACTGGCATATTTCATGGTCACGGTTGGGTGCTGCACAGTTTAAAAAAAATGAGCATTGGCCAATACAAATGTTTCATAATGCACGTTTTCATTTGTACATTATACGTTGTACATAGTTTTACAATAAATAGTATATGTGCATATATGTGGAATGCTATATAACATTTAGGTGTGCAATGTACTCTGACATGCAGAGAGTCACCCGACCCGTGGGTTGAATGTCTAGTCCGTGTCAATAAACTCGAATCGTCTTTACCATGCAACTGGTGCAATGAGTGCCAGCTCATGATCATTGCATGGTTGGAAGTCCGTGTGTTTTTCCTTTTTCATAAAAAACCTGCCGTTGCTCAATGTACTTTCCACCACTGGGTTCTTTCTGACAACAGAGATGAGCACCAGCCAACACCCAAAATAGCATAGGGATACTTTATGTAAAACAAATACAAAACAAAATATTAATTTACTAATTATGTTTTATACCTCTACAGTGTGTGAATGTGTTGAGCACTTGCATATACTACCAATACAATTGACTTTAAACTCTGGTAACAACGTGCTAAAATGCAGACTTCTGAGAGGCATTCATGAATTAGATTCAGACAAAGCGCAAATACCAAACGACCATCATCTGGCTATTTTCAGCCGAGCAACTAAGCCAGGTCAAGTTAAAAAATGTCCTTTAATGACTGCAAGAATAACTTCATCTGATGCATGTGTCAGTTTAACAATAAATAACAGACTGCGTATGGGGACTGTTGTATTTTTCTTCTCCTTGCTAATTAGAGCTGTAAATCTGCGCGAACAACTGTGCCCTGCCATACTTGAAGCTTTGCCCCTGAGCTGTTTGAATGCCTGGAAGTGCTTTTCAGCATTGCTTGGCTGTCAATTTAATCCCTTAATTAAAATGATAATGAAGTTGTTTGCAGAATGTTGAATCCGGGCTGTATATTATAGATATAGTTGAACTATGTGTTATCCAAAATACTGTAAATATTGTACGTGCAGCTGTTTAACTGCTACGAATAATCGTTCATAAAAAGACTGTTCATACTAAATTATAGCATCCGAGTAATAATTACACAAATTATTTGGGGATACTGCATTTGCAATGGTGCAAAAATAACAAAACAACTAAACACATCTTTAACATTTAATTCTCATCAAGCCCCATGTTGTAAAGTGCAGTCTACTACTCATCTATTTGATCTCTCTGGCCTCTCTGTACGTGTATTCTAGAGAAGGGCAATTGTCTGAAACTTTGCCTATTATTTACTTTTCATTTTAAGGCAGTGTTATTCATATTTGTGTTGATTTTTTTTATTGGTAATAGACTATTAACTAGTTTTTATTTGACCAGGTAAGGTCCACTGAGCTATATACATTTTTTGCAGAAGCGACCTGGCTACAAATGATAGCTTACCGAAGTGGCTTATCATGTAGAAATTTATAGCAGCCACAAACTCTAAACGCATGCTTCTAAGTGTGGAGATAAAAACCGGAGGACCCAGAGAAAAATCCACGCGACCATGGGGAGAACATACAAACTCCAAATATACAAGCCTCAGGGTTGGGATAGATCTCACGACCTCATGTATACCAGGCGAAGTGGTAACATCTCGCCAACATTGTCGATTAAAGAGATAAAATAGGCAAATCTTGAGAAGAAGTTCTGCTTATCGTGACATTATAACCAGTATCAAGTCAAAGTGCTGCCCTGCTCAATTAAGCAGTGAAAAGTGCTCATCTCCGTTGCTGGTCCTATCCATTCATAATCAACGTTTTTGGGTTTAGATCGCGTTATTTATAAATGTTTCGTAACCCTCCACCACCCGACACGGCCAATCAGTAAAAAAGTGTCACGTTGGCCGTGTCGGGTGGTGGAGGGTTACGACACATTTATAAATAACGCGATCTAAACCCAAAAACGTTGATTATGAATAACATTGGTCGCGAAAGCCTACGTGTTAAACTGGGACCAGTCAGTCTGTGTGATAGACATTGCATGGTCCAACCTCATGTGGTGCTGCTCACGTGACTGACAACAGAGGGACAATAATGGGCCGAGTCAACACCGACCAGAATTTAAACTCATTACGGTGCCACCATGACACGTACATTCATCATCTGTCAGTCATTGCCGTGTAGCAGTTTGGCTGAAGGGGAATTTCGTATCACGATTCTTATCCAGGCAATCGTACCTTTAAGGAGTTGTAACTACACAAACATATATACAGCTATCTACACTTAACTCAAAGTTTCTGTTTTCTAGTGGAACATGTGTCTCCTATAGTCTATGACCGACGCCCACAAAGGTAATCTTAGAGTCATTAAAATGTCCACTTTACAATATATGGTGTAATTTGATTCCTCACAATAGCGTTTCATACAAGCAAGAACTGTTCACCAAACATTTATATGCCGCCTGATTTGCAGGTAAACTTGCCACAATATAGGCGTGCTTGTGTGTGCATATACACACACACAATAGGTATGAACATGTAACAATGTAACAATGCCGCAATTAGCCATTAACACGCATAATTGCTGCCTATTACACACGTTTTGTAGCACCCATTATTAATTTTATGCCGCCAGTTTAGTGCTCTTGTATATCATTATACATCATATATCAGTTTACTCAGGAGATCATTCTGGCGACTGATGCACGTTCATGCTGCACGCAATGTGGGTTCTGTGAGAATTAAACCTGAACATAAAATAATGATTACCGCTGTATAACCGCTTAAGGCAGAGAGCATAGGTGTAGTGGCTGAAGGGCATTGGAGAAAGGGGGCATTGACCCCCAGTTTCTATGCCTGAGGGAAGCAGAGGAGGGAAAAAGTCATTATAAAGCTCTCACTAGTATATATTGCACATTCTCACTGCTGTTGAGAGAGCGTGTAATTGCACGTAGATGTGTGGCATTAAACCCACTTGGAAGCATGATCACCATGTACGGCATTTCAATGCTCGCATGTTCATGTAATCATTTCCAGAGCTCGGTGTGTAGTAGTGTGTGGTTGGCTATGCATTACTGTGTAGATTTTGTTTACCCATGGAACTACCAATGAGTCTCAGAACCTTGCTTAAGGTGGGTCATGCCAGGATATGTTAGCAAAGTATTTTTTATATATTTTTTACTGAACAAAAATTTCTTCACTTTTGGGAAAAAAACCCTTAAATATAATTTGGTGGAAACACTAAAAATCTACACAGGCATTCAAACATCTATCGAGGGACCTGTTTGCTGCATCACCTCCTGTAGGCACCCTTTGGCCCTATTATATGTTAATATATGTGCCTTGTATGGGCTTATGCCTGTGTTCCATCTTGTGTGTACAGCAAGTGCTTTCAATGAAGGATTTTATTTCCGTGCCAAAAACACAAAGCAGTGAGTGGAGAGCCCCAGTAAGCTAAGCCACCTGTTCTCTCTTCAAATGAAAATACAGCATTGTGTATTCACTTAGGGACGTACAAAGACAAGAAATAAAATGTTCTGCATCAACACACATATAAAAGCCATCTGTCAATACTATACCCAGGCAACCTTTGTCAATCTGGGTGCTTCGAAGCTGTGGGTAGACTACTCAACTCACAATCAGATGTATGTGAGTTGAATTTCATTCTTCTATGATCACTAACTCATTTTGCCTTCCCTCTGGGTAATAAACGAAGTTCCACTTTGTGGGAA